CTCATTAATGCTCATTGTACTATTTAAGACAATATATTGCATTACTTGGAATAAAAAAAATTGGTGTCATAAATGAATTCCTCGTCATAGAAAACCCTTAAAAAGTCGTATTATCCATGTTTTCAGGCTTCCTGGATTGAGATTATAGCAACATTATTACATATTGCACATAGATGATTATGCTAATTATAATTATTAGGCTATAAAAAAGTTGCTCAAGGTTGCCAAGCTGGCAACCAAGCTGAATTTACTTCAATACCCATCTAGAACACGAATCAACAAAAAAACCTTGTACTTATCAACTTTTCCAGGTCATGTACATGGTCTATGGTACCGTCTACTGGACTATTATGTGTCAAGTGCATAAAACACTTCAATGATTCGTTGTTTCCTTTCCCTATTCCGGATCCCCCAAAAGGCTTAAGTCCTTCACGTGGTAAAGATAACTTTCGCTCCCGGCCATCACGCCCCTTATTAATATTTGGAAACGCCAGTACTCAAGGAAAGATGCTTTCATTATTTTGTATGCCATCAGACCCCAATCCCTTCCTTTTCCAGGGGCCCGTCTTATAAAGAGTTGATATCAATCGCAGCTATGTACATAAGAGATAGGAGACTGCAAACTTGCGTTTGATTGAGGACTGATTGATTTGGATCAATCGTAACTCATTATAAGACGGCACCCAGATAAATCTCACCCGACCTACCTTTTCATCTAATTTCTTAATACACTTATTGATACGCATTTTGTGTGCCCCCAAAGACTCCTATCTAATTTTCGCGTCATTTCAGTGTGAGTGCTAGATAATATTTTGTTTAATCTACTTATGCACGTAATATCAGCCCTAACACTGTCACCGTTAACTTTTTAAGTATCTATGATATCCCAAACAAATGACACTCAGCTCACTTTGATATCTTCCTGTAGCTTAGTAGCTTCGTCCTTGTTCGTTAGGTTCCGACTTCGTTCGCGCAGTTTCGGAAAAAGTTTCCGAAGCCGATCTTCGAGCATGACATTCGCCTGAAAGTTCCTAGTAGGGTCGATGTCTGATGTCGATGCCGCCGATGATTTTGAATTGTTATTTTTGTCGACGTCGAGTAGAGATTCCACACTTAAGGACTCGGGAGGAAAACCTAGTTGTTTGGTATATAAGTAAGTAAATATAAGCAGAAAACTTGAAGCATTTACTGAAAATAAAAAAATGAGAAAACAGCACAGGTAGCTAAAGACTAACATTAGGGCCCAACAACATCATCAACAACTCGCCACTCATCCTCCTCATCCTTCCTCTCCCCTTCTTCCTTTTCTACATCCCTTCTTCTCATCCTCCTCCTCCACACCAACATCGTGATCTTCACTTTACATTAAGGACGACGATGACAACAGCAATTATGATAATGAAGATGATGATGAAGATGATGATGTTGATATTGTTGACGTTGATGATGATGATGATGATTTTGATGATGATGTCATGATGATTTTGATGGTGATAATGATGATGATGATGGTGATGATGATGGTTCTGATGATGCGAGGAATAGGAGGAGACGAGTTAAGTAAGCTATTTCCTTTTCAAATGATGAGTGCTATTACATTTTCTCTGACATTCACCTTTGAACTTTGACCTGATGAGTCCTCGCAGACAACCAGAGGATAATGACCCTATCTCCCTCTTCATCCTCATTCTCTCCCTGGTGATCGCTAAAAGATGACGTTCTAGCATTAAATTGGCGCGGTCCGTCGCTAGCTGTTCAATGGCTAAATTTTTCTCTTCTGCCAAATATCTGTATTAAAAGTCGAGTTGCAATATATTTCATTCGAAGATATTATCATAAAATGAGACATTTAAACATAGAGGCAATATGTTCAACAGTTCTGCTACATGTAAGTAAAGACCATGAACGCTCCAACATTCTGTGCCTTATAAATATGAGAGAGAACGAAACTTTGCAAACCTATAGTAATAAATAAAATCAAAAGATGGATGCATTTTCTTACCAATTACGGAGATATTAAGTAAGACCAGTAGCAAAGCTGTTTGCGTTTTGAATCCAATTTGGCATCAAATTTTTTAAAAATTAATTTTAAATAAGGCTTCGTCATTGACGTTGAAATGGAAATTGGACATAATCCGACCATGATTTCTAAATGCCACAATAATGGTAAAGAGTTATAGAAAAAAGAAATTGCCTTTACAGTTGATTTCTCGAGAGCCCCATGCATAATCATGCTGTCTTAGGATGTATCTAAGTTCTCGCAAGCTTTCGAATGAAATCAAAAGCACGGTCGTAGAGTGTGAAGAGGTCTTTCTATAAAATCACGACCCCCTTTTTATTACAAAATTTTGTTTTTAAATGGAAATAATTCGATGAAAGGTACGACCTGTGTCTCTCCATACTCCCAAATCCCAGTTCCCTATATTATCCACTAACATACACCCGGGGGGGGGGGGGGGGGGGGGGGGGGGGGCGGGGCGGTACTCACATATTAAAACATACGGGGGTGTGCCGTTCTATTATGGGTCACTTTTCAAGAAAAAAACCCTAACCATGGGTTTCATTTTTAACGAAGATATCCCCAAACGGGCGGGGGGGGGGGGGGGGGGGGGAGGGGGTTTGTCAGTACCGTGTCACAACCGGTCCGTGCCCTCTTTGGAAACCCAAGTTTGTACCAAAAAAAAAATGTGCCCCTCCCTTTTCACTTGATGGTCAATTTTGTGTGAGTTTTTATTTTGTTGTTGTTGTGTCTTTGCTGTTGCTTGTCATCATAGTTTAGGAATGTCTAGTGCCCGCTCTTTTGCAAAATTATGAATCCGCCACAAATGCTTCTCCTCAGGCTCATAATGATATTGATGGATTCGATGTTGAAGAACAGTGATGAAAATGATGATGATAATAATTATGATAGCCTATTAAAGACGCTGATGGTGACGACGACTGTCATGATGATGTTAACGATAATTATAAATGATTACGAAGACTACAACGACGGTGATGGCGGCGATGGTAGTGACGACTAGTTATTATTCAAGCGCGATATAGGTCTAATGCTATAATTTATTGTGATTTTAACTCCTTAAATAGTGCTTGTTTTCATAAAATTGTACTGTGAAGTCTAAACAATAGCGGAGCAAGAAGTTAAAAGATCATGCAGGGCAGGGGTGCAATGGCTCAGTGCTTGAGCAACGCGGGGGTTATAACCGGAAGGTCGTGGGTTCAAAACCAAGTTGATGTGCCAGTGCCCATTTTCGTAATTTCATTATCAAGGACTTAAAGCAGTCTCTTAATCCTCAGTGCTGGAGTGACCATTTAATATGCTGGGAAAGCCGTCGGCTTCTGCATGGTTGGTTATTTAGCATAGACTCTACTCAGGCTTTCTAAGCAGTCACGTAAAAAAACATAGATCTAGGCCCTAAACCACCTTTCTTTCAAGAATTACGAGAATTGTTCTTACCTGTGCTTGTTCAGTGCCTTCCCGATCTTCGTCCGTCGCTGATCCATCATCCGAATCAAATCCGTCCGACTGCAATGACGTTGCTGGAGATCGTGGTTTTTAGTAATATGACGAGGTTGGCAGGCATCATCATCGTCGATGTCGTCATCGTTGTCGATGAAAAGATCGACAACTGTCGGTACGGAAAATCTGTCAAATAAAATAGGGAAATAAACCAACGCATGCGCTGAAGTCAGAACAAGAAGAGCAATAATGTCAGCGTCTTTATTTCATGTCTCTCATACTAGATCTAGACTACCTTGCTTACTTGCTTAAGTCGGGTCAACTGCCCGAGCTGTGATGGCCATCCACACATAATTCCTGTCCAGCATGGAAGCTTTTATCTCTGACAGTTCAAGTCCCGTATCCTTCTTGAGTAGGTCTGTATAAGTAAGATGAGGTCTTCCAGGTTTCTTCTTCCCGTGTTTAGGCTTCCAGAGTAAAAGCTGAGATATTGGTTCATTGATGTTCCTACAGCTGTGGCCTGCAAAACGTAGTCTTCTTTCCCTGATCTTTTCTGATACTTTTGGTAGATTCCCGTACAGCTCCTTATTGGTTATATGCTGGCTCCAGTGCACGTTAAATGCTGTCCTAAGAAGTCTGGTGTAGCAACCATCTAATTCTTTTGCCAGCTTTGTTGTAACTGCCCATGCTTCGCAGCCGTATAGAAGCACAGATTCAACTGTAGCAACAAACAAACGTTGTTTGAACTGCCTAGGAAGAGAAGATTTCCAGATTCTTCCAAGCTTGCTACACGCTCTCCATGCTGCTGACTTACGAGCTTTCACATCTTTTTCTGTGCTCACCATCAGTGCTCCCAGGTACTTGAAATCAGGTACATTCTCCAACTGAGTTTCATCGTTTGTTTTTATAGTGATGATCCCCCTGTGATTGAATGACATGAACTTGGTTTTGCCTGAATTCATCCGGAGCCCGACCTTGCCTACCGATGTCTCCACCCTGCTCAGGAGTTTTTGGGCTTGCTCTAATTCCTCAGATAGCAGGGCTATGTCATCGGCGAAATCTAGGTCTGTTATGATTTCCGGACCAACTCTCCTACTTCTCCTTCTTTCTAGTTGGAATCCAAGTTCTTCTTCATGGCCGTCTATAGCTGCTCGCAAGGCATAATCGAGGACTATTACAAATAGGTAAGGTGCAAGCGTGTCACCTTGAAGCACACCAGCCATGATTTCAAAGAGGTCAGTCTCTCCATCAGGTGATATTACTTTTGCTTTGGTGTCTTCGTACATCTTGCCAATAGCATTCACCAGTTGTTCCGGTATGCCATATGCAGTAAGGATCTTCAACATCTTGCCTCTGTGGATGGTATCGAAGGCTTTGCGAAAGTCAATAAATGTGATAATAGCCGGGAGCTGATTTTCTTTTACTCCTTCTATAAGCCTGCGAAGTGCCAAAATATGTCCCACTGTGGTCCTTCCAACTCTGAATCCATTTTGGTTGGTTCTCAGGTGACTATCAAGTACAGGTCTGATCCTGTTCAAAATCAATCTATTGAAAGTTTGGCCACGATGGAGCTTAGACTGATTCCTCGATAGTTTCCTCCTTGGCTCAGGTCTCCAGACTTTGGTATTGGTACAATATTCAGTATGGACCATTGGTGGGGCTTTTCTTCATTGATCAGAGCGTTGTTGCAGAAACTCAGAATGATTTCATCCAGGTCACATCTTTTTAGAACCTCTGGTGGTATGCCATCTTCCCCAAAGCTCTTCCCTTCTACTAGTGACTTTATTGCCTTTGAATATTCTTTAAGATCAAATGGCCCTGTCTTGATGTTCAGACTCTCTAGTATAGGCAGAATTTCTTCATCCTCATCATCTATATCTGGAGGGCTTCCAAGAAGATTCTTGAAGTGGTTGAACCAGTTTATGACCCTGTCTTTCTGTGTGTCTCCTTTTAACTGCCCTTTCGGGGATGCTTTCCTTCCGGTTATGTCATTTATGAGTCTCCAGCTCTGCCCATGTTTACTGTTGGCATGCGCTCTCTCCACATCTTTTAGTTTACTATCAAGATCTTCTTCTATAACTACACTGTATGCTTCCTCAAGGTTGTGCTTGGCTTGCTTGTAGATCTGCCGATTTTCATCACTTGTATCTTTCTGGTACTCCATGTAGGCTTTATTGATCTTATTTCTAGCACTGATTACACGTGTATCGTTGGGAAAATGCAACTTTCTTGTCTTCTTTTTCACTGGGATAACTTTCTCAGTAGCCTCCTTATGTGCTGTTATGAATCGCTCATACCTCTCGGTAGCTGATTCTTCCTCCTTCTCTAGGGGCTGGAACCTGTTGCGGACTTCAATGCTGTATAGCTTCTGAAGGTGGTTGTCAGTGCTGAGAAGTTTCCAATCGTGCTGTTTTCCTTTTGCCAAGGTTTTGCTCTTTCGAAGGCTCAGACGGACTCTTGCAGATACTATTCTATGGTCGGATCCTACACTGGCAAAAGTACTATACGCCTCAACATTATTCAAGCTGTTCCTCCACTTTTTCCTTATTAGTATATAATCCAGTTGGCATTTACTTCCACCTGGGCTAATATAGGTCCACAATTTCCCTTTCTTCTTACAGTACTGACCACTTGCTATAACTAGGTTCTTTTCAACTGCCATGTCCACTAAGTACTTTCCATTTCTGTTGGTTGTTTCATGGTAAGTATATTTAGCATCTGTCCTCAGGTCCAATTCTGGCATTGAAGTCTCCAACCACAAGAAGAACATTGTGTGCTGGTATGGAGTCAATTGCTCTTCTTAAATTGTTGTAGTGTCCTTCAATGATATCCTCGTTCACTACGTTGGTTGGGCAATAAGTTGTAATGACTGTAGTTGCAGGGTTTCCTTGAAAGTTTGCGACGAGTATTCGGTCAGAATGTGATCTCATGCTAGCTAGGGAGTCATATGCACTGGGACTTAGTAGTAATCCCACACCTCCTATTGCAGCTCCGGCTGAACTTCTGTTTGCAGATGATGTTATAAGCATGTTGTTTAGAACTTTCTCATATCTGATAGGCTCATTATGTACTATTCGATGTTCTTGTACTCCCAAAATATCAATGTTCTGCGCTGTTAAATTGGTTGATAGCTCTTCTCTATTTCTTTGCTCCCTAATAGTTCTCACATTCATAGTTGATACAATTACTGTCTTTCTACATCTTAAAAATGGTCGTCCTTTACAGACACCATCATCAGATTTACCCCTTCCATAAGGCTTTGAGGGCAAGCCGTCATGAGATTCTAAGGAATCGATGCCTGATCCAGGACATGTTGTGTTAGGGACTTTAACCCTAGTGTTGTTAGGTTGTGCCATCATAGTTTTTCATTTGCTTATAATATCTGTGGTTGCAACTCCTACAGTATGGTTTAGTTCTAAAAGCTGTCATGAGTTTTCCTTCTCTATTGACATTGTGAATGAATTCACTGATAAAGCAAGAGGAGAACTCAGGTTTCACGCTAGGGTTTTCCTTCCCAGACTCATCCCCCGTCGGTTTCCCCAGGCCACAAAGCGGACCCGAGTTATCCAGCCGGCACCAGCGTGGAGGTGGGAGTTTGAGTTGCTAGTAGAGAGGCGATTATGGACTCATGGGCTTAGATGTTAGTTGCCAGAGTACAAACGGCAGCAGAGAGGTAGAATGAAAGGTAGGATATAGAAGAGGAAAGATGATAGCTTACATGCAGAAGGAAGGTAAGGGCATGCAGGGGAGACATGGAAGGGTGAAATGATAGCAAAGCAAGCTAACCGAAGTTGCGCATCTAAAAGCCATTCACCGACATAAATGATAAAGGACTTAATTTAAAGAAAGTATTATAATCAAATTGCACCATCATGAATATGCGTCCTGCATAACATTGTCCAACATGATAGAGTCTAAATCTTAGAAGATTTATGAATAAGATCTAGAGGATCTATATAAACTTCTTCAAATTTCTGTTTTAAAGGAGGAGATGGAGGAGGAGAAGGAAGAAGGGGGGATATTCGACATCATCCATACCTGCTATCTGTCCTCTTCTTGTAGAGATAGAACTGTTGAATCTGGTCCGCTGCTAGCAGCAACATTTTTGACAAATCTGAAAGTCTTTATCTATATCACTCTGTTACCAGTCTACAGCCTCTAGAAACTATCCGTTTGAAGACTGAAAAGTCGTAAAAATCACAAAGAGAGAGCATTCAGGCACCTCTTTTTTAATATTTCTACCGGATAGATGCTATCCAACTTTTATAATGTGCACAAAACGCGTATGCTTTTATATACCGCATCCGCGCAGTCGCTATGGATACGGACTGGATGTTGGGCGCGTGACGTCATAATGAGACAATGTTGCACACGCGCAAAAGGCATAATTTATGTCAATATCATCTCCCCCTCTCTCTCTCTCTTTCTCTCTTTAAACACTGCTCAATTTGCGTTTGTCTCTCCTATCATTTCCTCTTCTAATCCTTTCCTGTCTTTATTTTTCGATTGTTTTCTCCTACGACCATAACCAACGCCACCCATCTCTTGAATTTGATCCCCCATAAAGAAAATGCCGAAGGAACCGCATGGAAAGTTTGAAAGAGAAACGAAAATTGTCATAGTTTTAAGATTTGAATTAGTTTAAGATTTGAACTAGTTTAAGTCCCGATGCAGATCTATTAGTTTGTATAATCAATGACCATTTAAAAAAGAATGTACCCCTCGTTCTGCATTGTTCTCTCCCCCCCCCCCCCCCCCCGGCCTGATCTGTATCACACTCCTACGATACCTGCATGTGAGTGTTCATAAATTCTTCTCGTTTTTAAAAATTGACTTCCTAGCTTACCTTCTGGATCATCATGTGCTATGTCTTTGTAGTGTACTACAAAAGGATGGTTGAGGGCTATTCGGCCTTCACAAGTCCCACCCGCCCGCCGCCGATAAAAAGGTATTGCCTGTGGTATTTCCACGGATCTAATTACTCTTTTGCTTTATCATGTTCTTAAATAGCACATAATATATTCGTTTAGGGGTTTTTACACAACGATTGACAGAAACATACAAATGTGGAGAAATTTAGAATACTTTTTTTTCTTCATGAAGCAAAGAAATTAATTTTAGTAGGTCTTTTGTAGCAGACGACATTTTACCCACAGTGCATTGTCAAACCAAAATACCTTTCCTATTTCCGGTTGCCAAATACAAACAGCAACGACTTTTTGAGGCCAGAGGTAATTAAATATACAAATACATTGTTTTCTTTTGACATTTTAAGATACCTATGCACATTGAATTCTGAATTTGAGAATGATCTTGAGTAAATTATTGTCATTTGCAGGTCGGCAAGAAATATTACCCTGTAATCCGTGTTAAAAGTAGTGGCACTTTCATGACAATATTTCATGATTAGTCCCATACGTTGGTATCTGTGGCTGTTACCTGTTGGTTAATTTTGTTTGATTTTGTCCAAATATTCTGACGTCTAATAGCTGTTATTTTGATTGCTTTGAAAAAAATTCTGTTTGCAAAACTGTATATGTGACCCCTGCATAAAAGGACTTTGCGATTGCATTGTGCAGCAGTGCAGTTTCACATGTGAATTAATCAAAATTCAGAAATTAAAAAAATAAGCCCAATTCAGTCAGCACGAGGCCTAACTCAACTGTTAAAGTTAGATTCTAGATCTATAGGCCTATGCCACACATCAGTAGGCCATAGGGGCGCTGGTCTGAGAATAAGGATCATCTGCACAAATGAGGATCATCTTCGTAAAAATAAGTCTGCAAAAATAGGCTTAGAGGGTCTAGGTCTAGTATTGTCCGCATTTTCGGTCACGATTCTGATTTCTGATCAGCGCGACGCGATGGTTTTCCTGAATCATTTTACATTGACTTTGTACAGAGACTTTCATGTTATGAGCGATAAATCCTCTGGAAGACGGACAACCTATAGAAGTAGACGGTGAACTGGGGATGTTTTATTACGCGGAATCCGTTTTTTTCATAGCCAGCGCGCAGATCGGGAACGCGTAACCCGCAGAACGCTGAAGGGAAAAAACGTCCTTCGAAAATGTGGACGATCCGGATTTTTAAGGACGCATTTTGTCCGCGTATACAAGAATATCATCGTTTATGCAGACAATCCTCATTCTTGGACCAGTTCCCCTACTGCACATAGCTGCATTAGTATCCTTTTTGTGTATAAAAACTGTTCCGATAACCTCTGTTGATTCTCAACATTTCAAACACCATTGTACAAAACTCAACTGAGTTCACTAAAAATCGTTACGGTACTTGGTGACAATTGATGACACCTAAAAATAGCAGTAAAATACAATCTTTTCAACTTACCAAAATTAACAAAAAATATTTGAAAGTTCAAATCGTGAGTCTACTTCCAAACTTGCTGATCAGCCACTTATTATTCATTGTGTACATTAGTGTGCAATTGTGTGCAATGTGTGTACTGTGTGCAATTGCTGCCTCTCAGCCCGTATACAGCGCTAGAGGTGAACACAGAGGTGAAAAACGATTCAAACAGCAGGTTGGGTCACATTTTTTTCGAAATATGAAGAGGAAGTAATTACAATTTAGACTTACAATGTTTTTTTGACTCCTCTGGGCATCGTTCCAACCACTTGAAATTATAATTTGAAGAAGTCTTTGATGGGAAAAAGGGTGATTCTTCCTCCTTACCCGACGATTCATCCATGTTGAATCGTCAATTGAACATGGCGAAGAGAAAGTATGCATGTGGGGTAGCGGCGGAGCCCAGGTTACATGTATATGATTTGTATCGTATTGCGTGCATGACATCTCACAAATATTCTATGAACTTTGAAGAATTTATACTATTTTCTCAATATTGTATATTCATTATCATTGTTATATAAATAGTTTTTATCAAAATTAACATTTTCATGATTTAACTGAAAAAAAAAACTCCTTATTGAATATTGGTGCATCCACACAAAAAAATATTACTATCAATATAAGTTGGATGCTGGTTTTAGGGAGTAAAATGGAAATTTATATTATAAATATCTTAAGGAAACCATAGTGGATAGTGAGGCAATGACGTCACAGGTCTACTTATGAGTGAGTTGCCAATTTGTCTTGTGATTTTCGAAGTTTTTCATGTCATTACAAATTCATAAATTGCTCATTAGTCATCCAATTTTGCTCAACCTTTTTTAGATTGGTTTGTCTGATATTTTTGCTTCTGTTGAACGTAAGTTATTTTTGTAGTAAACTTGCCCTTTAATATCAGGTTGGATTTCTCCTTAAAGAAACCTTATTGATTCTCAAAATTCTCAACACACCACTGTACAAACCTCAGTCACCAGAACTCACTCTAATCTGCACTTTTTTGACGATTGATGACACCCAAATATAAAATTTGGTTGAATCTCTAATAAATAAATGATATCTACATGTACAATAAATTGCAAGTCGACTGTAAAATAAGTTTTCATTTCAATCACATGTACCCAGTGCATGATATAAAAACACTTCTGTACTTTTTAAAATGATTTTAATCACTTCAAACACTCTTTGAATTGAGTTGTAAAATGTTATTTCTTACATATCTTCAGATAATCAAGGGATGGTGCCAAAGGAATACACTGAAAGTCATCTTACAAGGAACTTGCACATACAATGTACATGTAGGAAGTGAGGTGCCACTCTGGAAGTGATCTTAGACAGCCGTTTGAAGTGAAAGCTATACGTCCGCATCTTTGTCCCTTGACTCAATGGTGCTCCGGTTCCAAACATCCGTCGCCACCATGTCGTCATTGCGCCCTGTGCTGAAGCTGAAGGTCGACGAACTCTTCCTGCGATGGTTGAGCGAGTCGGACACCCAGAAGGCCCTGCGGGAGGACCTGAAGATGGTAGTGAGGGGCGATGTTATCTTCTCCCCGCCCACCTCCACCGGGTTCCCCTTCAAGAACCACGGGGGCAGCCCCGCCTCGCCCCTCCTGAGGAGCTCCTCCCCGTCATCGACCCCGCCCTGTTCTCCGCCCCCGACCCTCTCCGTCAGTCCCAGGAGCCCCAGGAAGAGGAGCAGCAGCTCCAGACTCTCAAGGTCACTTTCATCGTCATCTGCCTCTCAGGTGAGTCCAGTCAAACCTATTTTTTAATTGAGCGATCATAAGTTGGATGTCATTGATAGTGAGAGAATGAGAGTTTTGTAAAAAAAATTGTACCAACTTGATATTTCGTTGCAAAATATTTTTGCAGGGACAAAGTTGTTTATGTGTGATATGCTTGATATGCATCAAACTTTTGTGCTCAGAGATTTTATGCATGACAAGGACGTTTGCAGAATGTTTTTACAAGTTTGAATACAATTTTTAGCACAACGTATCTGGGCAGGTCCAAGCTATTTGGATTGTGACGTACGGGACATTTAGAGACTTTAAACGAGAAATAACAACAGATGAAATTATTTATACAGCGTCCCGTACGTCACGCAGCACATTAATTACATTAAAAATTAATTAAAAAATTGGTCAGAACTAAAACTTTCCACAAATGAACTAGCCCATAAAAGCCACAGACTCATACCAAAAGATAGCCATATAAATAATTTCATCTGTTGTTATTTCTTGTTTAAAGTCTCTAAATGTCCTGTACGTCACAATCCAAATAGCTTGGACCTGCCCACCTCACTGAAACCAATCAGGCCAACCTTGTGTGTACAACATGTCAATGGTTCTGCCCATAGTTTAGTTATAGCGCCATCATTGTTCAATGCCTGTCCATTGACCCTCCCCTCATGCTGTGAGTCGGTGACCAAGGGCGATGGCATTTTGATTGGTTGTGGGTTACAGTGTGTATCGATATCAAGTGTCCAAATGACTGTCTAATTGACATTTCAACATAACTTTCCTACATGGTAGACAATGTACACGCTGTTCATATAGAAATCTTTAGGAAGAAGATGTAACTCAAGGGAGGCTAATTAGTCTATTTGGGGGTATAATGAGACATGAGTACTTTCTTAAAGTATATTAACTCTGCTTCAATTTCCTTCATATTACATACTGTACATGGATTCACTTGAGAAGAGAGTGATTAAAGCTATAAAGGAAATAACCAGATTTGTTGGTTTTTTAGATGCAGAAGGGAATTATGTTTTCACTGAATAACACACTCAAATTGTTGCTGAGTATTCAAAATCAATTAAGAGAACAAATTGAGCTCTGTCTGTTCTATACATATACTGTACATGTACCTGATTTTTTGTTTCATGAAAAGTTTTGATTCGTATTTGAAAGTTCCACTCAAAATTTGCTCTGGTTTTTCTTCTTCAATTGATTATAGCCTGTTTTTAAAATGAGAAACGTGTTGTATTTTGTAGATACCTGTACATGTAAGTCTAGCATATTAATAAATATTATTAAATGAGTTCATAGACAGAGCTTGCAGTCAATTAAATTTAATGAGTTCTCATTGACTTCATGATGATGCCCTGTACACATGTAGGCCTGCATTGTAGATCATTTAGAAATGAAATGATATATCTGCGTGATACATCTCAGTGTCAATGAACCAGGTCAAACAAATGTCAAACGAAAGGTCACTCCTCTCATCAATTATCACCATTTACCAAAGGCCTATAGAGTCACGCTAGGGTGTTGTACAACATGTACAATTGTACAAGAGAGACACTGACATTTGTACAGAAGGAAAATGGTCCTGGGATTTGATTTCTGTTCATATTGAATAAAGGCTTGTTTGTACATATGTGATGGTTAATTCAACTACTGTGGTTTACCACAAAGGTTCAACCCGGATATTGATATTACAAGATACTTACCCCGGGACATGCAATTTAGCCCAGTACATTTAAAGTTTTCTGTCACTATGGAGTATATACAGTGTGTAAACTAATAGTCCTCTCACATGCATTAGACATTGATTTCTTATTCTTTTTTTAATTTATTTTTTACTTGCATTAAAAAATTTGAGAAATCATCACTTAAAGTCCATTAATCTGGCAAAACAGGGCTATACATACATGTACATGCACAAATAATCCACTGACCAATTTGCCAATATGAGATTCGCATGGATTTAATGATCTTACATTTCATAATTTCAAACATTCAAGGTGAGTTCTGATAAAAAAAAGAAAATGAATTCTCACAGAATCAAACGAAACTTACATGTACACTGAATGTTCAAGATAACAAAATAAATGTCATTTGCCAAACAATTTTGGTAGAAAATGTATACTGGCTGAGGAATGAGCATAGAAAGATTAGAAATCAAGGTTAGTAGCCCCGACTAGTGCTGTAGTCAAACGTTTAACCGTCTGGTATCCGACCGCCCATGGCGGATTCCGTTTTCAATTGGACGGTTTCGTTTTCCTGTTTTTTTTAATTTTTTTAATTTTTTTAATTTTTTTTTTTTTTTTTTAATTTTTGATTTATGCCCCTTCAGCTGGCACTATGCCTGGCAATGTCTCCCAGCTCAGTGATCAGTGTGACGACTCACCACTTGGAAACTAGAACAACACTCCAATTTGTCTGTCATCTTGGTTTGAAAGTAATCTTTGTAATAGACCTCAATATGTAGTTTATAATAATAATTTTTACACATGGCATTCCACAAGGTTCTATCTTAGGTCCTCTACTGTTTTTAATTTACATTAATGATCTAACACATTCTTCTAAAAATGACATTACTACTATTGTTACTATTATCTGTGACTAGTTCACAAGCACAAATCGGCGCCTTCAACTACACCTCGCAGTAAAATGAAAGTCCTTCCCGCTTTTTCACACGGACCTGGCTGGCTGCCGACAGAGTCGACCAAAAAAAAAAAAAAAAAATGATTTAAATTTTTTTTTTTTTTTTTTAAATTTATTTTTTAAATTTATTTTTTTAAATTAAAAAAAAAAAAAAATTGTTTAACCAAAAACCGTCCGGTTTTGACTGGCGGTTAAATGGAATTGGAGATATCCGTGATGTTACAGCACTAGCCCCGACACCATTTGTATAGTCCATACATGTACATCTTTCTGTGTACAGTGCTTGTTACTTTACCAAGACTCCAGGGGCCAAATTTATTAAGATTTTGATGACTCCAGAACTTTGCAGTACACACCAATACATGCTACATGATCAACTTTTTCTGATCCATTCCACACCTTTTCTTTCACAATACAATCGGATGACCAGAACTCACCTTTATCTATAATATTGGCCTGATTTATTTCAAACTTCCAACTTTCTGTTTCTATTATTTATCTGCTTCCATATTACCATGAAGGTGTTACAAGGGTTGGATTGCCCTTTAACATATCTAAGAAATTGATATAACAGTTTCTTAACATCTACAGTACAAGTTAAATGTACACTGGTACATCTTGTGCCCATTATTTCAGAATCTGGATAGCATATTTTTCATGTGCAGGACGTTGGTTAGATTGTACAATTGTACACTGTAGACCATGTAACAGGGTCATATTAATGTCAAATGAAAGGTCATCATCTGTCACCATAGACCTACTACAAATTTCCATGCTGTCACTCACTCTTCACACTCTTTAACACGCCTCCCGTCCTCCACATAACCTGTGTTTACAACCATTAACCTTAAACAGGGGGGTTTATTTCTCAAAAGAGGAAGTCCAGTAGTCCACCTTAAACATTACTTGCCAGGAAAAATATTAGAAGCAAGTCATGGAAAGTTAAAGGAAAACCTATTAAAGGACAAGAAAGTTATTCATGTTTAAATTTTGTAATACTGTAGAACAAATGCAAATTAAGTTTTCTCACAGTAATTTCATGTATTTGATTAATTAATTTCTATTTTTTCTAAAGAGATCTCTCATAGCTAAAGTGTACCAGTCACCTGAAAATGTGTACAGGTTAAATGCATAAAATCAACAAAAAAAAAAAACGTTGCCAGGGATTTTGGGGGCTAACAGAACAGAAGTCAGTAAGAAGCAAATGAAGAGTTTCTCTCATCCACCATTTGCTTCTGTGTAGAGACTAGAGAGTGTCCAAACTTGTAACAATATCTCATTTAATAGATAGAAGTATCAATATTATTTTTAAAATCAGGGAAAAAATTATTTTAAAAATTTCGGGGGCTACTTTTCAAGCTTGCTTGCATGAAAATAACACTCTTTAATTTGTTTTGCATTGAACTCTATGCAAATTCTGGGGGCTCTTTTTGGCATTTTGGGGGCTAATTCGCCCGAGCCCCCGTGTATTTTTGTCCCTGTTTAAACTCATACTGTAAATGGGATTTTACACACATGTTTCAATCAGATATGATTATTTACTTCTGGAGGCCTGGCTTTTAATGTTCACCATTAACTTCTACTGTGCCATGGTACCCTTAACATACAGAGTAGATTAGCAAAATAGGTTTTCCAATTCTCTGCTCTTGTAAAAAAAATATTTAAAAAAAATGACACTAGCCAGACAATGTCAATACTACATTTACACATGTCTGAGTATGCCTATTAAAAACAAACAAACAAACAACCGCTCACCAGAAAAGAGAGAGAGAGAGGGAGAGAGAGAGAACTTGAATAAACAAAAACTGAGGATGAGTCATAAGGAAAAATGCACCCAGATGTTTGAAAATATGGGACATTCTTAGGCTCAGACTGCTGCCAATCTGCTGAAAGAAATCAGATGAACCCAAACAAAGTGGACGTTGTATTTCACACCACACCACATTGACATTAGACAAAGTCAACCACATTTTTGCTATATAGAAGATATTCAAGATATCCAATAAGCAGCTCAGAAATATAAAAAAGCTATCTATTTTCACTTCTTGAAATCTATTTTTACCCTTCAAAACATATTTCTGATATAATGTCTGTTGTGTTTGGGATGGCAATCTTTACATGACATTGACAATTGACAATGATGATTTTGGAATATGGGGCTTTGTCTCGCTTTAGCTCTACTTTTCAGGATACTGAATGTTCACTATGCTACCAAGCTTTGCTATTCTTGGTAGTCCTGGTGTCTTGTGGGCATGTATATTCCATTCTTCTATTAATTTTTTTTTCAGGGTGGGGGGGGGGGGGGGGGGTGGTTAATTTGTCAAAGTTGGGGTCTGACTCAGATTCTCCCATTT